AGAGCCTAGGATAGGAAAGTTTCTGGTCCTCATCCAAGGTCACCCGGCATGCAGAGGCCGGGCTTCCAGAAGCACCGGATCACGAAAGGCCACAGGGAGGGGCCGGATGGCAGAAGGCGGCCAGCCCTGCCTCTGGGGAAGAGCCTGCACTCCTGTCAGAGTCCAGACTCCTGGGCTTTCCTCCGGATTTGGGAGGCGAGGTTGGAGCTGAAGAATCTGTCCTTGTATTAGCTCTGGTCTTCATCGCCCCCCGGCCCTAATGGGCAGCCAGGCGGGGGCCTGTGGCTCTGTCCTCCCCCAAACCCTCTGGTGCCAGGTGAGGACAGCCTCTCCTTACACACCCGTCCTGACGGGCAGCTCCTCACCTCTCACAGGCAGCCGGAGAGACGACGTCCACACCGGACACTGTTGGAAAGTTCTTTCTGAGCCTGAGCCAACATCTGTCTCCCCAGAACTCTGCCCAATCTTTCTGCCTGTATTTTATTTCCACATGTGTCCGGTGGGGAGGGGGGCTCATGACAGGACCCAGTAGACCTGCAGACAAGTTCTGACTGGAGGCTCTGGGTGTGGGGAGCAGCCCAGGAGGGCCTCCCTGCGGAACAAAGGTCTGGAAAGTTCCCAACCTGGCCCTCAGCAATTGGCTCTAGGGAGCCATGGGGCCGACGTGGTTCACTTCTTAAAGTATCAAATGACTCGATAATGTAATTTTAAATGTTATATCTGAAAAAAGAAAAAAAAAGTTGCTTTTGTACTAAAAAAAAAACCCATTTGATATTATGAATTTGACTACAGAATTCACCTCGAAATTCCAAATAAACGGAGACATCTAATTTCTTAGAACCCCTAAAACTCTGGGGGTGCTGGGGTAGGAGTAGTTTTCTCTGAGGTAATGGTATCTCCTGTAGAAAGTTCCAGAAGCTCTTCTTTAGGCAATTCATCCGTGTTCCTCTGACACTCCTTAGATGCTGCCCAGATGGCTACCGAGATGCCTAGAGGAGAGTCTAGGATGGAGGGGGTTCAGGGCGGGGGGTCTCAGGGCGGGGAGAGAGGAAGGAGCAAGCACACGAGTGACTCCAACACAGTAGGGGCCAGGAAGCAGGAGGCTGGAGCTGTGGAACCTTCCACAGTCCCGTCTGGCCCATGGGATGGCTTTGCTGAGGTTACAAGCATAGGAACTTGATTATGGAAGGTGTGGAGACCATCTGCGGCTCTGGCCTTGAGAAAGCGGTGGAGGTCCAGGCCTCACCGTCCCTGCCCCAGCCCACTGCATGACCTGGGAGAGCAAAAGCAAGTGCTGGACCAAACAACCGATCCGCACAGCGTGGGGTCCTCTGACCTCTCTGGGGGTCTCGAAGGCAGGGCCGGCATCTGCAAACTGGTGTCCGTAATTCCTCAAAGCCGGCTGGCAGACACTGTGTCTGTCCTGGGGGAGGCTGCCCAGGCTCATGGAAATGTCAAGTGCCTGTCTTTGCTCGGGGCTGACATCACCTCTGTGTGGGAACAAAGCGCGTGCTCATGCCGAGCCTATCTGGATTGGCAGTGATCTGCGTCCTTGTTTGGTTTCAAAATAGGGGGCCCAGAAGGAAAAATCATGAAAGATGCCCTTGTTGGAAGAAACGTCGAGGAGCCCAGCAGATCGCCTCCCTCCGGGCTTTGGCTGAGACGAGGCAAGCGGCATACACCCACTTGCCAATGTCTGGGTTCCTAGGGGAAGCTGCCAGTACACCTGTTCCATGGGAGGTCCCGGGGGGAGCCTTCATTATACGGGACTTTTGAGTGTGGGGGGGGTGTGCGGGGAGAGCGGCGGAAATCTGTGCGCATGCTCTTGTCCATTTCCACATCTGTGGGGCAGTGCAGTCCTTACCGTCTCCTAGCTATGGCGACTCAGGCCTGCGGGGAATCTTATTAAGAAGTTGGTCGTTAACGATGAATTTTGGAACACTGAAAAAATAAAATAAAAAAGCTGGTTTCCTCATTTTATAGATGAAGGAACAGAGGCTCAGCATGGTCAAGTACTTGTCCAAGGTCACACAGCTTATCATTTTCATTTAACACGGATGTGAGAGCTACTGTGTGGCTGGCAGACCTTGGGGCCGGGACCCAGTGGAATAAAGTAGGCAGAATCCCCCTCTCACAGAGGGGACATCTTAGTAAGTGAGACAACACAGATAAACAAGCAAGAAATGTCAGGCCGTTTCTAGAAGCAGATTCCACAGGGAGATGGGGTTGGGATGGGGCTGGGGTGGGACCAGGGCAGGCCTCCCTTGGGATGTAGCATTTGCACAGAGGCCTGAAGCACAATAAAGAGCCAACCATGTAAAGAGCCCGATCAGGTGGCTTTCCCAACGACGTTCCAGCGGCCTGAGTAGCCCCTGACAGGTCTCACTGCCAATGCCACCAGTGGTGGGGACACCCTGCCAGGTGCCTCCTGCAGCTCAGCAGCAGGGTCAGTTTGTGAGAATGAGAGGACCCGACAAAGGCTGGAGACTCCAGAGAACAAACCCCCGTGGGGAGTGTCCATGGGGCTCCTGGTGCTGCCGCAGGTCCCGGCCCCCCGCCCCGCTGCCTCAGGCCCCGGGATGACGGCAGCTCACAAACTCGCGCCTCATCCGGTCTGACCCAGGCCAGGTCCTCAGTCAAGGCGGGGACTGCATCCCATCCTGTGAGATGACTGATGTCTTCAAGGGACAAGTGGACACAGGGCTTCTCTGGTCCTCTGTGATCCAGCCCCAGGGAGACTGCTCTCCCCAGTGAGGCGGTGGGAGGCGGCCAGAGGCTGGCTCAGCCCAGTGTGTGCATGAGCTCGGGCCTGTGGTTCGCAGCTTGGCCCCCGCTGCCCTGTTCCCTTCTGGGCCCGACTCCTGCCATTTCTGAGATCCTAAGACAGACCCCCCAACTAGCCCTCTCTGCCTCACAGCTTAATCCACCAGAGGGAACCAGGAAACTACACCAGCGCCCCTCTCGGCCCCCAGAGGTCGGCCCTGGCGGAGCTGCAGGACACCGAGGATGGGGCACAGGGACACAAAGCCAGCTGGGCAGGGCCTGGGGGGCCAAAGCAGGTGCTAGGGCAGGCCTGGGGGGCCTACAGGTTGGACAGGGCCATTTGTGACAGGGAGCAGGCCCACCTGTCTGCGCCTCAGTCACTCACTTGAGAGACGGGGGACCCACCGCCTCCCTCTCAGGGTGCCGGGCTGACACCAGGACTCCGGGTCTCAGGCCAGCAGCGCTCCTGAGGGCTTCCCGAGGGTCAGCTGGGGAAGCCAGAGTGGGGACGGACCCTGAAAGGCCCATCCTGCCAGTGGAGCCCTTCCCAGGAGAGGGGCAGGGGAACCCAGGAGCCTCAGATGCCGGCACTGGAACACTGAGCTTTGTTTTTTGCTTCTAAGCAGTCGTGCCCTTGTCAGACGGGCGAGTCAAGTTCCACAGAGCAGGGAGAGGCTGGTACTTGTAGATCAGGATTTATGGAAAGCCCTCCACCCAAACAAAACCAAAATAAAGCAAAGGCACTTCCTGAATGTCCACTATCTGGTGACAGGGGGAGGGGGCCGTCCTGGTGACCCGGAACTCTGTCCGCCACACTGGTCCTCACCCACCAAGAACTGGCCTGGAGCCTGGAGCACCTGGCCTGCAGCATGAGAAAACTGTCGCCCTCTCCAGATGTGTGGGGACAGAGAGGGACGCCAGACACCCAGTGCTGTCCCGCCTGGGCTGGGAGGCCGGTGGTGCAGGTCCTATTAGAAGGCTAGGGTTTGCGTCCCTGCAATGCCGCTGAGCAGAACGACAGGAGGAGGCCCTCAGCCCCCCAGGCTGTGGCGAGGTACACGAGACCTGAAAAGCAGCACTCCACACCCGGCATGTAAGACCACCTCTCACTCTTTCTTTATTGCGGTAAAAAAGGGATTCTATTTCTAGACACCAAACAGCATCACAGAGACATTCTTGGAAAAGAATTCTCTTTGTTTGCAAGCCCTCGAGACAGACTTTAAATCTGCCCACCTGCAGAAAAGAGATGGCCTCGTAGTGGCGGGCCGTGGTGGCCCTCTGGCGAGAGGCTCTTGCTCTCCCCGCAGACTGTCCCCCGCCCGCCCCGCACCTGCCCTCTCAGCCGCAGGGAGACGGGGTCCTGCACCGCCCAGCGAGCGGGGCCTTGGAGCCTGCCTATGACTGTCCCAAGTCCAGGCACCCTGGAGGCGGCACGCAGCTACCAGTCCCGGGTAAAAGTTGTGTCTGGGGTGTTGCGGGGCAGGAGCTGGGGAGTTGGAGAGGGGCGGAGGGATCCAGGGCCGCCTCCGAGACTGAAGAGGTCTGACTTCTGCTCCACTGCTGACTGTGGGAGCCAGCAAGCTGGGAGTCTCCTGGGCCTGCCTCCTCTTCCGCCACTGGGGACAGCCCTGCCAGCCTATGCCCACTGAAGGCAGAGAATGTGTGCTCTTGGGGCCTGGGCTGCCCTGATCCCGTCCCTAAGTGTCTGCAAAAGTGGGGCGTGCCTCTGAGGTTCCCGGTCACCCAGGCAGGCCACCTGGTATCCAAGAACCTCTTTCCCATGGTCTTTGCAACGTGCCCCCACCGGCCTGACTCCTGACCTGTTTTTCTCTTAAAGCCAGTAAAGACTGTCAGTGAGCGGCCACTATCCCCACTCAGTCCCAGCACGTCCTCACCTTTCCTGTACCCCCAGGTCTGTGGAGGCCCAGCCATGCCCAGCCCATCCCCTTCGGTGGGCTCTAGGACCAGGGCTCCTCTTGGACCTCCCGCTCCTTTCCACTTGATCTGCTCAGAAGCGTAGCCGGCCCAGGCTCCCGAAGCTTCCCTTGGCCTTCATGAACATTGACCACTGGAAACAACCTGGGGAGGCTGAGGGATAGGCGCAGGCTATGAAGGCACGGATGCCACCCAGGGCTCGAGTCTGGAGGTTGAAGAAGGGAGGGAGGAACCCCGCCCAGGGCTGCGGGGGCAGAGAAAGTGACGGCTGCCAGACCCCTGGCATGCTGGGCCGTGGAACTCCTCGTGGTCTGCCCCATGCAGCAGGCTCGCAGCCCGTGTGGCTTCTGCCCTGAGCCCCACTGGAGAAACAGCAGTGGTCCTAGATGAGTCTGCCCGAGGGCAGGGCCTCCAGTCCCCTTTGCTGGGCCAAGGTCTGGTGTGCAGGGCTGCTCTCGGAGAACGTTCTCTGCTGCACCCAGTATGGCTGGGTGCGGGTGGGGTGCGAGTGTGGTGCAGGCTGAGGATTAGGTGCTCCCTGGCGCCCTGCCCCACCTCGGAACAGGCAGATGCCAGGAAAAGGCCCATCCGGCCCCAAAGCTGGGCCCCCTCGTCCCCGGGCAAGGTCCTGCTCCGGCCATGTCCCCTAGCTGGGGCTACGGGGCTGTCATCACGCTCTGCTCGCCATGGTCCACGCTCCAGAGGCGGTAAAACTCAGCAAAGTCCACGTAAGGCTCGACGCGGCCGTCCTCGCCAGGCGGGAGAGAGTGAACGGGCCGGGAGCGGAAGAGGCCCCCGTCGGAGCTGGAGCTGCTGCTCTGCGTGTGCGTGGTGGTGGACTGCAGCGTCAGGGTTGGGCTCTGGCTGTGGGGACGCAGGGGACAATCGGTCAGCGACAGAGAGGCCCTCCTGCCTCAGGCCAGAGCCAGCCCGGGCAATGTTCTTAATGGCAGGTGAAAAATCAAGTGTATTTCCCAAGCTCGAGCTCTATGTGGATAGTCAAGTGAACTAGAATTTAACAGAATGGATCCCTCGGTTCCAGGGCTCTATGGCCATGCATCCCAATGGCGACAGAATGGGAAACAGACCATCTCCCTCAGGGCAGCGGCAAGCCAGAGGCGGTCCACTCCAGCTGCTCCCCAAAAGCCTTCCTCATTCCCCCATTCTCATTCTCCTCACTGGCTTGGTGGGGACAGGCCCCCTGTCGCCAGAGCTCCCTGGGTACCTGCTCTGTCATGAAACACCTCACAGCGGGGCACTACCTGCCAGCCCGCCCAGCCCCCAGGCCTGGCCCACCCACAGCAGAGCCCACCTCCCACTCAGAGACAGGCCAAAGGAAAGGGGCCGTTCAGGGGCCCCAGAAGCAGAGGTGCGGCAGGACGGCCAGTTGTCCTGCCTGGTCGGGGACCCCTGCTGTCCTGCTCTGCCTCTGAGGCCCCAACTGGGGTTTCTTTCCTCCAGGCAGCCCGGCAGGTCCCTCTGGCCCAGGGCAGCAGCGGCGGCGGCAGCAGCAGCAGCAGCAACAGCGGTGGCGGCAGTGGGGGCGGCCCCTGGGGGACAGAGGCCCACACCCTCCTGGGTGGCCCTTCCAATTGGCCACATCCTCTGCGTGGGCTGGGTGTGGCATCCCTATTGTTCTGTGCAGGGCTGGAATGTGGAAACCAGATCCCCGGTCCCCTGGTGTGGTGGGGCTGGGGGGGGGTGGACATTCCACAGAAGTGAAGGGGCTGGAGAGACATGGACCTGTGAGGCAGGTCTGCAGCGATGAGGGGGCCAGCCTGCTCACCCCTAAATTCTGGGCCTCCTGCTGCCTCCACGCACCCCACCACCACCTTAAACTAGACGACTCACTTTAAAGCTAAAATGGGACACTCTAGTCAGAGCCCGGGCTCTGACAAGCCAGCACAGGCCAAACAATGTCCCCCAAGCATGGATGCCATTGCGGAGGCTCAGAGATGGGGAGAAGATGGGAAAAAGAGAAAAGAACACGAGAACCTTCCCATTAAAGGAAAACGTGTCTGTGGGACCCGCGGGAAAGCACAAACAGCAGGCCAATGGCGGCCTGTCTCCTCCTGGCCCACCTTGCCCACTTTGCCCCTGTACCCCCACCCCGCCCAGGTCTGGGTTCAGTGAGCTGCTGGAACCTGCAGGGCGGCCTCCTCCTGCCTCCGGGTCTGGGAAGGACACCCAGGGATGGAGTGGGGAACATGAGAGGTACAAGACCCCAGCGTACCTCACCCCACATCACTGGAGCCCAGGACTGGGCCCCGTGGCCACTCCCATCCAGGCTCGGAGGGGCTGTGCCCGGAGGCAGGGCTGGGGATGACTGGGGGCGGGGGAGGGCTTACTTGGTGAGGGTAGGCGTGGCTTCGTCCAGCGTGGAAGCGCTGTGGGCCCCGTTGACCAGCTGGCCCTGGGAGGGCATGACGAGGGAGAGGGTCACGCTGGTCTTGCTGGTGCTCTGGGCGCTGGAGTACGGCACGGAGACGGGGTACACGCGTCCTCCTGCAGCTTGTGGGGGGAGAGAGCGGTGGGCTGCAGGGAGTGGCTGAGGGGGGATCGCTGGGGCGGTGGGAACACTGCCGCCGCGGGGCATCATGGGGGCAGCGTCTGAGGGGCCGAGAAGGTGGGCAGCGGCCAGAGGCTGCCCCTTGGGACAGTGAAGGGGCGTCTGTTTAATGGCAGACTCTTCTGGGCGGGCGGGTGCCCCTCTCGACAGCAAGGCACCGGTGCTTAAAGCAGGAGGAGAACATGCGCTGAGCTGCCTCGAGGACAGGGTGACTGCAGGGCTCCCCACGGCACTCTCGGCCCAGGGTGAAGTGGAGGTTGGCCCAAAAAAATACGGTTGCAATAACAAGTTACAGAAACTCCAGTAACCCCAGTGTCCGTGGGGGAACAAGTCCATCTGTGCTGCTCGCGTACTAAGCCCTGCTTGTCTGAGAAATGACAAAAAAGGCAGCCCCTAGGAATGGATAGTTTCGACACTGAGCAGCCCGGGGACAGAAAAAGAAAAAGACTAGCGCCTCTCTTCCCCAGCAACCTGATCACGGAATTCCAAAGGGAGAAAATAAAGCATCTCAGCCTCACCCCCAACAGGGCCCAGGGACAGAGCGAGGTTTCAGGGGCCCCTCTGTCCTCGTTCCCTCTCTTCCTTCCACAGCCTCAGCTCCTTGGTAAAAGGGGGTGCCCCTGCGCCTAGGGTTTTGTTTATTTATTTGACAGACAGAGATCACACGTAGGCAGAGAGAGGCAGGCAGAGAGAGGGGAGGGGGGCAAGCAGGCTCTCCGCTGAGCAGAGAGCCTGATGTGGGACTCGATCCTAGGACCCTGAGATCATGACCTGAGCCGAAGGCAGAGGCTTAACCCACTGAGCACCTAGAGTTTTAAGGAAGCCTGAAGGAACTCTGTGCATAAAGGGCCAGGCACCCAGTAGGCACCCAAGCAGTGGCAGCCACCATCCCTATTATGTGGCCTTGGGGGTTGGCAAAGTGCTTGTCACGTACTCAGACGTTTAGGAGGTCGGCCGGACGTGCTAGGATTCTCATTTCTCAGGCAACAGGGAAAAACAACAACAGCTCAGCTCGGAGAGCTTTACGGTCAGACACCAGATCAGAACGGTTCCAGGCCAGGCCTCTGGATCCACGTCCACCCCAGGCAGCAAGGCCCACCCCTCCACGTCACCCCGAGCCCTGGCCGACCTCCTCAGGAGGCCCCCCGGTCACACTGCATGCATACCTGGGGCCGGGGATGGCGTGGGCTGGCTCATCTCACCCAGAGGGTAGCCAAAATTCCTCACCAGCAGGGTCATGTCCTCGTGCCTCGGGCAGAACTTGGCCCGCTCGCCGCCACTGGCAAAGGTGTCCCCGTGGATGCGCTTCACCCGGTCTACCACGGCCTGGGCCACGGCATCCAAGGAAGTCTGCTTGGCGAACTCCGTGTCGATCATGGCGGCGATCTCCTAGGGGGAGAGGGAGCAAAAGCTGGTGAGGAGAAGGGAGGGGGTGCCCAGGACTGCCGCCCGCAACGCCGGAGTCTAATCAGGACATTTAGGGGGTACCAGCCGAGCAGGTGAAGGAAGCCTCCAGCAGTCCAGCCTGTAATCTGAGCTTTTCAAGGTATTCTGGCTAATTCTTCTGGAACTTTCTCATTAGAAAAGGTGTGACCTTGTGATCTCTCCAACTGTTGGCTTCCACACCAATAAAATGGGGGATAATATCCACCTCGCTGGGTTATTAAGAGGATTAAATTGCACAATGGATGGGAGGGCACTCGAGACCACGAAAAAGCCTGGTACGAAGTGCTGTTAATTACTAAGTTTCCTTTCCTGGAACAAACTTACTGTAGGCTATGTCACACCATTTTTGTTATAAACAGGGAATACAGAATGAAGACATGCCTCAGAGAAGTCCACTATCCAGTTTATTCTAGAAGCCGGCAAAAGCCACTGGATAATTCTTTGACAAAGACCAAAAAAAAAAAAAAAATCATACTGACAACTAACACAAATACAAACTCCTCTACATGATGGCTGGCCAGAGTCTCTTGGAGGTAGGAGGGCTGAGACAGGTCACAGGAGATGATCTGAGCCCAGTCTGGGGTGGGCTCAGCTCTGTCAGTGACCGGCTGTCACCTCAGGACTTCAGATGAGCCCCTGAACTCCATCAGCCCCAAGCTGCCTAACTCAACGTGGCCACGAGCCCATCTTCTGGGTTATAAGGCTACTGGCAGGAACGATAAAATAAAGTAAATGAAAAACCTTGAACATGGGTTATCAGGAGATAGGCACATGAGACATTCTTCACCTAACATTTAATTAAAAGGAGGACAAAGCAGAAAAGGTTGCTTGCCTACAGGAAGCACAAATGGAAGGAGATATACAACCTGAATTCACTAGCCAAGGTCAGGGAAAGGCAGCCTCCCTTCAAAATCATCCTTGAGGTTGACTGTCTCAAAGCCACGCATTAGGGACAACTGTCTTGACACGTGTGCTCCCAGCACAGGAAAAATAAGCGGCTCCCATTGACTGGAGACCTAAGCTTATCACACCTCGCCCTCACCACAATCCCAAAAAGGCGGATGTTATCACCCCCTGTCAGAGATGAGCAAGTTGTAAGCAAGTGTGGCTGGGCTGGGAGAGGGGGGAGGGGAGAGAAGGGGAGAGGAGAGGAGAGGCAGGGAAGGAGGAGGCGGAGGGAGGCTGAGGCTCAAGTCATACCCGCTGGGCTCTCCTCCCTGGACCAGGGCCCTTCTCAGGCACGCTCAGAGCAATGTGCCTGGGGAAATTCACTTCCTGGGGTCCTGGGGACTGACCCAGCTTCAAGCCCAGAATAAGCAGGCTTCTGGGTGGGATGCGTGTTCTTGGAGCGCCGGGCATTTCTTCCCGGGAGCTTTGAAGGCACAGAAGCTGCCTGGTAAGGGCATTTGCGAACTGGAGCTCCAGGTCCCGGAGCACCGTGGAGCGGGCCGGAGGGCTGGCTGGGTCCCCAGGGGAGTACACCGTGTTGCGGGTGGGCTGGCGGTGCTCTGCTGGGGCCGGGCTCACCTGGTTGGCCTGCCCGGGCCCATGGGCGGCCTCCAGAGCCTTGTAGAGCCCCTCCGACATCAGCACCAGGAAGCCAGTCACCCCGTCCAGGGGCTGCGCACCATGGATTTCGGGCTCCGCGATAATTGGCTTGGACTTGGCGGCGCTGTGGGAAGAGAGTGTGAGGAGAGCTGTGCTTGGAAGGGCCCCAGGGGACATTTGTTCTGCTAAGGGCAAGAATCCACCCAGGATGTAAAGTCAAATGCCCATCTAACAAGAGGAAAGAGAAAAACCAGAAAAATGGACCTATCTTCTGAGCGTGGCTCCTAATGTAAAGCTCTGAGAGCCTGGAGAGCCAGCGGGGCGGCTGCGGGCACCTGATCCTGGCCCCAGTCCCCACCTCCTGGCCACAGAGCCTGTGCGGTGGCAGTAGGGACGGCAAGAGGATGGGGATCACTTGTAAAAGGCCACTTCGCCTAGGCTCCTCCAGAACAAGTACCACGCCTGCTCAGACCCCAAGTCCACTCCCCAGGTGCACAGGGACCCAGGACGGCCAGCGAATGTCACAAAGCTCCACACGTGTGTGCACATGCGGAGGCAAGTCTGAGGTATTCCTGACAACGGCACGTGGAAGAGCAGAGTCTGGACACATCCCGGGAGCCCATGAGCAGGGCCGGTGAGTGCCGCTGCAGCCTCGCTAAGGGTCCCTGGCCGCGGTTATGGGGGTGCCGCCCGCCCCCCTGCACTGCGCAGTGGGGAGCACAGCACCGATCGGGAAATGAGGAGGGTGCAGGGCACAGGAAAGGGTATGCTAGCACCTGCGGGTGTTTTAGGAAGGGGGCTGCCCCCCCCAACACATCCCCACACACACGTGCATGGGAGCCCCGGGGCAGGATACGGGGGAGACCAGCAGCTTCTGGGGAAGGAGTCCAGGCTCGGGGTGGTGGGGAACTCTCACTGTGGATCCTCGGCGCTAGCTGACCTGTTTTGAATCTGTACTTTCCAATTAAGCCAACAGAACCCCACCCCCAGTTAGAGACAAAAGTTTCCAAACTCAACTGCCTAAATCCTCCCCGCACCCCCAACTCCCTGTACACCCACACCACACACCCCCATATGCCACCCCCACATACACACCACATCACACACATGCTGCAGCCCCCACCACACTCCCCCGCACCCACATACACACCCCCCAACCCCCCCACACCCCCCCACACACTGTGCACACAATAACCCCCCCACACCCCCAACACATACATACACACTGCATACACATACCCCACACTACCCCACACCCCCTACACACACACACACACACACACACACACACGCACACCCGCCCCCCGCAGGTCTGTTTTCCCAGTCACCGTTAAGGACACTGCTTCGGATTCAAAATGCCTGGGTTCAAGCCCTGCCTCAGCCCCTGCCAGCCCTGTGAGCAGGCGGCCCCCTGCGGTCTCCACATCGGTTGCTTCCGATGAACACACCTCTGGGCCAACAGCCGTACCTACCTCACAGGGTCTGAGTGAGGAGTGAGCGAGACAGTGTGTAAAGAGCTGGGCACAGGCTTGGTACAACGATGGCCCACAGTCACCACCGCGGCCCATGTGCGGCAGCTCATGACAACGCTGGTCACTCCTGTCAGGCCCTGCGGCCCTGGCTGCTGCCCTCGGCTTTCACTCATGTCCCCAACCTGACCCCTTGCCAGCCCAGCTCTACAGAACCTCCCAGCCTGTTGGGTCTAAGGCCACACACCAGCCTCTCTGGGAGGAGCACTGCCCTCCTTGGGCTCTCAGCTACCTCAAACACATCTTTTTGACCATCTTTCTGCCCAGACCCTCCGGCCTCACAAACAGGGGGCAGCTGGGTCGGCCCCTACCTGAGTAGGTCGATGTCAGTGTAGCCGTATTTGACCTTGTAATCCCCGATGCGTCTGGTGCTCTCCTGCCCACAGATGATGCCCACTTGCTTGATCTTTCCTGCATCCAAACCTGCCAGCAGGAGAACAAGAGGACAATCCCAGATCCTGCTCACCATGAAGGAGGAAAAGAACGGCATACAGACATAGCCCCCCGACAAGACAACAAGGACCCGCTGGGTGGAAAATAAAGTCATACCAGGGCGCCCCAGGGAGTGGCTCACCCAAAGGGCCCCAGTGTCCACAGTGCCCAGCCCCATCAGAACGCCCCCTTCCTCAGAGGCCCCGGGCAAGGAGCGGGCGGCTATGCCGTGAGAGCTGCAGCCTCGAGCCTTCTCTGGCCTTAGTCTCTAGAGGTCATAGCACCTGTGTACACTCAGTACTCCTGGAACACTTCACACATAAGGAGTCTTAATCCTCACAAGGCCCTGAGGCGGGTGTGACTACGATCCTCATTACACAAATGGGGAAACTGAGGCACAAACTTCCAAAATTCTGGACATCACCCGCTAGTAAGGGGCAGAGCTGGGATCCAACCCCAGGCAGGCTGGTCCCAAGCCCAAGGTTGCAGCCCGAGCACTTCCTGCCTCTCCCTACTCGGCCCCCCCGGAAGAGGACTGAGGGTAAGCCATGGGGGTCGGCCCCACCCCGACTCACCGAGCTGGGAGAGGCGGAAGAGCTCGTCTTCGTTCTCCGTGGTGTGGTCCACGTTCAGCTGGGTCACCTGCAGCCCGTCCACCGTGGATTTGCATAAAAGGGCACGATTTGTACCTGCAGGAGAATTTGAGCAGCTGAGCCAAGACTGCGCACAGGAGGAACAGGACGGGTGGAGCAGAGAGAGAGAGAGAGAGAGAGGGGTGGGGGGAGGCAGCATCTCACACAGGGAAATCCTTGAACCGAGCAAAGAAAATAGGCTTAGACCACTGGGGTGAGTCACCAGTCTAGGCGTGCTGATGGTGTTAAGGAATTAGGTTGAACTTTTCCAGTGTCATCCTAGGATAATTATTTTATTAGGAGACCTTTTCTCTAGGGAGATGTACTGAACTATTTCCAAAGAGATAACGTGACACGATGTCTGGGGTTCGCAGGGCCAAAGGACTGGAGAGGAAATGAGATTGGCCTTGAGGCTCTGACTGCTAGGGTTGGGGGCTGGGCACACGGGTGTCCGCTCTATGCTTTTCACCCTGTCTTTTTGTATTTTTGACTTCTGTCCATGAGATCCCAAGGAAAAGATAGACATGATCAGTGGGGTTTCTGCACTGCTCCCACAGTAATCTGTGAGTGTGGCCTTCGGGTTTCCAGATGGCCTCCTTTCCCACAAATCCAAATATCCCCGGGGCCCCTCACCTAGCCCATCCCACAGCCCTTTGTGGGATGCTGAATGGGTCTTCCATAGCCAGGCCATCTCCTCCAGAAGAGGAAGCCACTGAGGCAACCCAGAGAGGGTACGCAACTTGCCCACAGCCAGCTGGGGCAGAGTGGAGGACTAAAGCTGGGACGCCTGCCTCCCAGCCGGGACCACTCACTCTCCGCGCTAGGGCTGGGGCATTCCTGGGCAGAAATGGGGAAATGGACCTCAGGGTCTCAGGAGACATGGGCTGGAGGGCCTATGCGTCTGGGAAGCAGGCTGCCCAAAGAACACCCAGAGCTCGAGGCTGGCCTTCTCCCGGCCAGTGCTCCTGCCCTGCGACAGCCAGGTGGCTCACCGACATTGGCAACATAGAGCTTGCTGTTGAGCAGGACAGCCACGACGGCCATGGCTCCTCCGGAGATCTCCCTCTCCAGCGCCTTGAGTCTCTCGAGGATCTTCTGGTACTGCGGGGGCAGCTGGTGCTGAGGGACACCCTAGAGGCCACACCAGGGGGTCAGAGCAGGCGGGGTGCTCAGGACCATCTCCCTAGCAGGCCCTCCCTTCAAAGGCGAGGCTCCGAGGGCCTGGCCTTTGAAGCCGCACCGCAGCTCCAGGGAAGCCTGCTCCCAGGAAGGCCAGGCAGGACTGTACTCGTCCTGTCGGTTCTGGAAGGGCCGGTGGCTGATGTGGGCGGGTGGGTGATGAGGCGATGCACAGACTCAGGCCGAGCACTGATCTGGAAGGGCCTTTTCTCACATCCTTCACCACCCACCCCCGTGCCAAGCCTGACTAAAGCTGCCCACAGTGGGCCCGGGAGACCCCTCGGAGGGGCCTCTGCAAACGCACTATAGCCCAGTCCCTCGGTCAGGAACTGTCCCCCTAACACCCACCACTCTGGCCCAGTCCTGTCAATGGCTGGGGAGTAACATGGCAGGTAAGTCCCTGCTCCTCGTGAAGCTGGGCCTTGGGGTGCTTCCCCCCGGGAGCAGGCTGGGGACATTACCTCTGGCAGCTGGGACTGGAGGCTTGCCTTCTCAGCCAACGCGTCATCGATGGACTCCAGGAAGCTCCTTTCCACCACATCGAAGGCCTGGACGCACAGAGGACAGGGAGGGGTGTCAGGGGAAAGGCCAGTTCAAAATACCACTGTCACCAGATACTGAAATGCCTATTAATAGTGACAGATTCTGGGGGCGCATGGGTGGCTCAGTCAGTTGAGCATCTGCCTTCAGCTCAGGTCACGATCTTGGGGTCCCGGGATCGAGTCCCACATCAGGTTCCCTACTCAGCGGGGAGCCTGCTTCTCTCTGTGCCCCTTTCTCCTACTCTGCTCTTTCTCAAATAAATAAATAAAATCTTTTTTTTTTTTTTAATAAATAAAATCTTATAAAAAAGCGACAAATTCTGCACGAAATGCAGGTCATCACGTGACAGGGGCTTCCCACAGGGCACTGCAAGGCCTGTGGCTCTGATAAAGCCTTCAGCCCCAGGGGCCTGGAGCCTTCCAGAGAGCACTGCAGACACCAGAGGGGCAGGAGCTGGCACAGAAGTTCCAAGCAAGGCTTGGAATCAGGCCACCCGGGGTGAATTCCGGTTCTGCCGCTTGCCTGCCAAGCAGTCTCCATCCTACCCACGAAGGAGACAAGCACTGCTCTGGGGAGCGGGGACGGAGATAATCCACCCTGTGCACCCAGCACCAGGGCCAGCGGGAGCCTGGGGCAATGACACCTCATATCGTCACTATATCCTGCCGGTCAATGCCGGTCCCTTGACGCTGGTCCCACTGCTGACCAGCTGCCTTCCGGGAGGCGAGGGAACCAGCTGAGACTCACTGGCTCAGGGCCCTGAGGCCACAGAGGCCCTCTGGCCCAGGTGCTGAGGCTGGAAAACGGCCGGGAACACGGTTTTCGAGGAATAGGAATCCATCCTTCTCATCTCAGACTAAGTGTCTCCGGACGTGCTTCCAGCAGAGATGCCAGGAGGAAAACCTCCAGCTCTTCAGCCGGCAGAAAGCAGGGCCGGCCAGCAGGTACCAGCGAACCAAAGGGAGGAGACAAGGCCCACGGGTGCTTAGAAATAGGAAGCTGAGCACCCGAGCCTCAGCCAGAGGAAAGGGTTCATCTCAAATCACCCTGCTTCTCCCAGAGCTCAGCCTCCCCCCACCCCTTCATCCAAGGAACACCCCTGACGCCCCTCTCCCCAGGAGGATCGCCTCCAGAGCCCACCCTGCCACTCAGGGGGAAGGACGGCCGGCTGCCTGGGCCTGGCCTCTGGGGATGTGGGGAGCTTCTGTGTGACCAGAACAACTGAGAAAAACAACTTTGCCTCTGAGCTGCTGCCCAGACATCTAAAGGCATGATAACACCGCCCCAACCCGAGTCTGGACACAGATGAGGGCCTGAGCTTAGGAGTCCCACCAAAAATTCCCGCTTCGCAGTTCCTGGGGCACCTTTTAAAATAACCGCTTCGAGTTAAGGCTATGGGAAGTAGTGACCTCCACCCCGACGCCCTCCTAAGTACCGGGAGCTTGCCACTCTGCCCTTTCTCTTGACTTGGGAGGGACGACTGTCCCCCTCCCCTCCCCACCGCTCAATAGAGCCCTCTTGCTTCTGGGATCTGTAAGTAATGACAAATCTGCAGCACTGCTTCCTCTGGGGGGTGGGGGAGCTGGGGAGGTGGGGGGGGGTGTGGGGGGGTGTGTGTCCTGGGACTGCACCTCCAGTCACAACAGTCCCGTGGGTCTCACGTCCCCAGAGGTGGGGCCTGGAGGCTGTGGGGGTGACCCGCCAACCTCAGGACATCATCTTCATTCAATATGCCTGCTCTGGTTTCTCAGCACTGCTGGTGACAAGGACGGTGTGGGGCAGTCTGTCCTTCTATACTATGCCTGGGAGCTGTGAATGGCCTGCGATCGTCCTCCCCCAGATAGATCCAGCTCCCTGGGAAGGAAGGGCCGCTTGCTGGCAGTCCTGCAGTGTTGCCTGGCCCCCTGCGGGGTGCGGCCACAAATGTCCACCCTAGGTTGTTAGTGCAGTAAAAGGTCAGGCTCCCCTGCAGAGACTGGCCAGCAGCCCCAGTCCAAGGTGGATGTGCTTCCCATTTGTCTAGGAACAAGACCCCACCAGATGTCTGGTCTGGAGGTGACTGGTTCTAATCGTTAGTCAAAGTCAAGCCCCAGTGAGCTAACTAGGACAATATGGCGCTGCCTCCGTCCCAGCAGGGGCGCAGGCTAGGCAGCCCCTGGGAGCCAAGGAGAGCTCCCCTAGACTAGCGTGGGAAAGGGAGGCTGGCTGCTGAGCTGGGGGAGCCTGCCCTAACCCACGGCAGAGGCAACGCCACCAAGGGCATCATGGCGCCCCGGGTCAGCACCTCCTCTGTGGCCGTGTTCCCTGCCGCTGTCGCAGATCGTCCCCCAACCCAGTGGATACTGGGAGTCCCGTCCCTGGCATGCTACAGCAGAACAGACCCTCACTAAAAGCGGGGCCCCTGAGCACATGCTACTGGCTTCCTCCCAGTCCCCAGAGGAGGCTGAAAAACTACTAGACTCTTGGAAGAGCTCTGCCGAAGTGGCCCGAGCCTTACTGAGCGCGGTGGGCTGCTATGTTCTTGAGGGCTGGGGGGGGGGTTTGCCTGGACACATTGGGGGGGCACAGCCCTGGCAGAGCTGGAGTCACTTCCTCAGACACGGACCGGGCCACCCGAGAGCAGGAGGCGGCAGCACGAGTGGGGAAAGAGACAGCCTCCATCCCAGGTGTTCCCAGCTACCTTCCACTGCACCAGAACGTCCAACAACGACCAGCGTGACCCAGAAATGGAGACAGGTAACCATACCAGGCTGGCCATGCAAGGTTTTCTAGAAACATTTGTCCAAAGTGGGGAGAATGGTGCTGACCCTTACGGGACTTGGAACTGGCTTCCAGCTGCTGTTTGCAGTGGCTGACATGCGTCTGTCTGGCTAGTCTGGCCAAAGACTCTAAAATTCGTAACTGGTTAAACAAAACACCCAAGGTATCGAGGACCCATTTTAGTAGAGACACCTTAGAGGACCCCCGGACTTGTCACCACAGCAAGGGGGCTCCCCAATGTGTCAAGCCACAAAGGCAGGAGACAGACAAAATCCAAAAAGCAGTAGGCTCTGAGGAAGAGATCCCCGAGCCTCCAGTGCCCTCAGAGATAAGGGGTTAAGATGTTTCCTGATGGGTTTTTATAGCTGGGTGCTGGGCCTATCTCTCTGTCGAGATCAGAGTTCAGGACCACCATGGGCGACCCTGGATGAAGCCCATCCCCTCTTGGGTAGACACTGGATGGTTCGGTGGGTATGTCAATTTGCTCAATGTTGCACTTCCACACTCCCTGACCATGTCCAACCCAGAGGAGGCACCCTTGGGGCCAGAATCTTAGGAGTTCATGGCCACAAATAAAAGCCCATGCCATTAGAAATTATAGAAATGGCAGCTGGTACTAAGAACAGTAGATGGTATCAATGTTCTAACTAGATGAAAAAAGAATGTTTTTAAAGTTCAAATCTTGTTTGCCGCTACAGCCAGGAACCAATGGAGGGGCGCTAAAGGATACAGTCGGAGGGGTGTTTCTGGGCCTCTTCTGGGTACCCATGGAGAGTGGCCTGAAACCCAGCTCCCTCCCTCCCGAGATGATGCAGAGGCCTCTCTGTATGGGCAGCTCTGGGGATCAGGGAACCCTAATGCTTGCTCTCAAGAAGACCAGGACACAAACTAGAGGCCTTGGCTCAGGTGCTGCGGACGCCATCACCTCCTGGCCTGCCCCATCCCGGAGAGCAGGATCTGGAGCCTGTATCCTGACCTCTGAGAGGGGCACTTGCTCATGACCCTGCCCCAGGGACCCGGCTGATCCCTGGAGCCCGTCCTTCCTCTAGGAGACAACCACCGTATACTTCTCTAACTACCCACTGGGACACATAGAAGAGACATTTTATTGCTCTGTGGACACTTCCTGGGAACCCCACCCCACATCAGCAAGGGGCACCCTTTAAATGACGAAGCCTAACACGCAGGAGGATATAGAAGGCATTCAACCTCCTTCGGGCAGGATTCACCTGCCACACAGAGGTTGGGCTATTGCCCCACATAAAATTCAAGGGCCTTGGGGCGCCTGGGTGGCTCAGTGGGTTAAGCCGCTGCCTTCGGCTCGGGTCATGATCTCAGGGTCCTGGGATCGAGTCCCACATCGGGCTCTCTGCTCAGCAGGGAGCCTGCTTCCCTCTCTCTCTCTCTCTGCCTGCCTCTCCATCTACTTGTGATATCTCTCTGTCAAATAAATAAATAAAATCTTAAAAAAAAAATTAAAAAAAAAAATTCAAGGGCCTTAGTTGGTCCTGTAAAGGTCGAAAACCCCACTTGAGGTTAAACACCAGCTGTGAACTACTCAGCCTCCCGCCACGCCTTGCATCTCCTCACACTTTGGAGGCAACACACAGCATACCTCTCCTCCATTCTTCATCCAGGCACCCACAAAGCCACAGCCGACAGCCAGCTGGCTTGAAGGTCAACTCACGAAGCCCGCTCCCTTGTTCCCCTCGGCTCCTTTCAGGCAGCAGCACCGGCCGCTGTGGACTGGGTGTCCTGGGGACAATGGACCACCGTGGCCCTTCCTGGCTGCCTGTGGGCTTCCGGCCCAGACGGCTGCACCCCTCCCCCAGAACCTCAGATTCTGGCTCCTTGGTGGGCTTTATTAGCAACTGAGGCCCTCACGGAGTGGGGCTGCCCTACTCACCTTCCCCATGAGATCACAGATCAGGGACGGCTCCCAGCAGTGGCGCGACACAGCTACAAGTGCCAATTCGCCACCGTGGAGAGGATCCTTCCTGGAAGGGGCTAAATCCCGCAGGGCAAGGCTTTCCTAATGGCCAGAGGACACAGCTTCTGGCTCCTCAGCCCCCTGCCCAGGGACCCAGGGGTTAGCAGTGGCACAGCCCCCACTGCCTGAGCACCCCCTGCCCCCGGAGAGCTGGGATCGCCAAGGGGGGGGGTCTGTGCGCCCCCTCTGACTGTAGCAAGGCGGGGTCAGCTCAGCCTGCTCAGGACAAATGGCCATGCAGTGCATGGCTGCCCACGACAAGCGTCTTGTCCTTGTCCATATTATTACTGACTCAGGGGCAGCGGCTCACAGGCCAGTGGTTTGGTCGGGTCATTGGTAGTGGGATGACTTTCATACGCAAGGCCCATGCACATGGGTGGTTCCAATTTGGAGGACACCAGGGCGATGAAGGTTACCGGCCTCCGAGCGTAGGCGAACACTAGAGCACCAGAGGCCGTCTCTAACCTCCAGGCGGGCTCCCTTGCCTGAAGCCCAGTCACCACCCATCTCTGCGGCTCCCGAACACAACCCTCTGCCCACAACTCCAAGGATAACTCCCCAGCTCCCTCCACCTGCCAGCCACCAGCAACCAACCCTCTGCTCCAACGCTCCAGCCTTTCTGGGTCACCGCTTCCCTACTCCTTCTTCCCTGGCCTGAAGGTCCCCTCAGGTCCCCTATCTCTCCTGGTCTTGGGGGGAGCTCAGGACACAATGGCCGGAGAGGCCTGGGCTCCCACAGAACTTGAAGATGCATTGTTTTGAATGGCAAATTAAGCTCCCAAACCAAAGGCCTGAAACTGCCATTCTTTGGGCCTGTGAGGGGACAAACCTCTTAGCGGCTGGGAGGTTGAATTCACAGAGCCGCTTCCCAGTGTGGTGCGGCACCGGCTTACTGCCCTCCACACCCGCGGGGAATACCTCTGTGGGGCAGTCGTCTAACTGTAAGCCGCCCCCAGCAAGGCGTCCTGACACCCCAGATTCAGGTCCCCAGACCCAGGAGCTCATCTTACTGCCCATCGGAACACAGCACTGGGCTCTCCAACAGGGCCTCCGTGGAACTTCCAGCTCGCCCACAGGCCTCTGGCATTGTGGAATGCCACAACCAGCTCTTAAAATCTTTGCTCCTTGGGGGCACCTGGGTAGCTCAGTCGCTAAGCGTCTGCCTTCAGTTCATGTCATGATTCCAGGGTCCTGAGATCAAGCCCCGAATCCGGCTCCCTGCTCAGCGGGAAGCCTGCTTCTCCCTTTTCCACTCCCCCTGCTTATGTTCCCTCTCTCGCTATGTCTCTGTCAAATAAATAAATAAAATCTTTAAAAAAAAAAAATCTTTGCTTCTTGGGACACCTGGCTGGCTCAGTCAGAAGAGCATTTGACTCTTGATCATGGGGTTTTAAGTTCAAGGTCCATGCCCCACACTGAATGTAGAGATTACTTAAAAAAAAAAAAAATCGTCTGGGGTGCCTGGGTGGCTCAGTGGGTTAAGCGTCTGCCTTAGGCTCCAGTCATGGTCTCAGGGTCCTGGGATCGAGCCCCACATTGGATTCTGCTCAGCATGGATTCTATTTCTCCCTCTCCCTCTGTGCTCTCACTTTCTCTCAAATAAATAAAGGGAATCTTTAAAAATAAATAAAACCAAAATCTTTAAATAAAAATAAGATCCTTGTTCCTTAAGTTACAGGGCAGTAAACAGCCTGTAAACTTCCTCACTGCCCGAGGCCCCTACCACTTTAAATTCTAGGCCCCCTTGGGGCGCCTGGGTGGCTCAGTGGGTTAAAGCCTCTGCCTTCGGCTCAGGTCATGGTCCTGGGGTCCTGGGATGGAGCCCCGCATCGGGCTCTCTGCTCAGCAGGGAGCCTGCTTCCTCCCCTCTCTGTCTGCTTCTCTGCCTACCTGTGATCTCTCTGTCAAAAAAAAAAAAAAAATCTAGGCCCCCTGCCCACTGTGCTCCTCATGCCCTGCCGCTTGGACAGCCACCCAGAGTGGGTCCCTCCGCAGACGGAGCCTGCAGCATCTTCAGACCAGCCCTGGCGAGCCCAGCACTTGGCAGCTGTCGGCTGAGCTCCCGGGGACGCGGCCGGCCCCGAGCATTGCTACCTGCAGCAGCACGCGCCGCACGTCCGCCTCGGTGTGCTCGGCACTGAGCTGGCCCAGCAGGAGCTCGGCGGACAGCCGCTGGGCCACGAAGCTGGTCACTCGGTTGCCATCGTAGCCATTGAAGACCCCGTACAGGAAGCAGTTGTTCTCACTCCTGCCAGAGAGAGGGGGAGCAGCTTGGGACCGGGGGCTTGCAGTAGAGTGGTGCCAGTTCCCAAGTGGAGGGGAGGAGGGTCAGGACTTGGGGGAAGCCAAAGACACGGCAGTGGTGGCTTTAGCTGCCCACCTGAGTCTCCCCACATTGACCCTCATGCCACTCGGGCATGGCCTTCTGGGACACTCCCCGCTCCCACTGTGGCAGGCCCTGGGTGGGGGTGAGGTCCAGATGTGCAAAGGACAGCAGCAGGTGCCACCTCCCACGGACCCCACCTCAGCAGCGAGCCCCATTCGAGAGAGGTGCAAAACTGCTGCTTTTTCTTGCCCCATAAATCTGCCTCCGATGCCCAGGGGGACATTGCCGGCACACTCACCTGAACTTGAGCCAGCTGTCCTCTGGTGGGTGGCTCTCAGTGCCCTTACCATCAGCAGAGTAGCTGCGGTTGGAGGCCGTACCAACCCCAGAGAGGTGGCAGAGTGGAAGGTCATCTGTCCAGCTTGGCTGCTGCTCCTGAGAAGGACACCAGGAAACAGAGAAGTGTCACCTTCTCCCCCAGGTTGGGCCCCGCACCTTCTTCTTTTTCCCCAACAAAACCATAGTAGCCCCAGAGCCCTGCGGAGAAGGTTCCACTTCCTTCTGGAAAACGATGCTTATACGAACTAAAGCCTACAGAAGGGTCTGTGTGTTTTTTTTTTTTTTTTTTTTAAAGATTTTATTTATTTATTTGACAGAGAGATCACAAGTAGGCAGAGAGGCAGGCAGAGAGAGAGGAGGAAGCAGGCTCCCTGCTGAGCAGAGAGCCCGATGCGGGGCTCGATCCCAGGATTCTGAGATCATGACCTGAGCCGAAGGCAGTGGCTTAACCCACTGAGCCACCCAGGCACCCCGGTCTGTGTGTTTTTATGGGAAGTCTGCAATGCTTTCCCCCAGGAAGTCTAGAAAAGCCTAGAGCTCCCAAATTAAGGCCCAGCAGTGGTTTCCAAGCATGAACTATGTTACAAAACACGAGTGAGACACACTCTGTGGAGAGCAAACTCTCCGTAGAAAGCTCTCTGGTGGCTCCCTACCTCTCCCTGCTGTGACTCTGATGCCAATCACTTGGGCACTAGCTCTAACTGGAGGCTTCCAGGCCCAGCCCCCAGAAGGGCCGATCCCAGGACAAGGGCAAATGCAGCAGCTCCTTCAGGTGACTGACTCAGGCAGCCCGACCCCAGAGAAACCACCTTGTCCCCAGAGAAACCGCCTTGTTCGTGCTCCGTGCCCCTGGGGCTTCTGCCCTGGGGCCCTGCTGTCCTCTGGTGACTCCCACCTGCCCGTTGCCACAGCCTTCTCCATCAGCACAAGGCTCCCGGCACCCCACTCTTTCTGTCTGCATGAACAGACTCCTTGTCTGGCATTACTCCATGCTCTTTGGGACTCTGGCTCAGCAGTCAGGGCCTCTAGGAAGTCCTCCTTCAGGAAGGCCACCCCACCCCCAGCCGGGCTTAACTGACAGCCTTCCCATGCACTCCTAGTACGCCTGGCTCCCTCCCCCCTGCCTGCCCCTGTCTGACTTCCATTCTACCCCATGGATCTCAAACTAGACTGTTCAGTATCATCACCATGGAGCTTAGAACCTTCCACACACACACACGCATGCACACATACACAGCTGTCCAGGCCCAGCCCAAACACAAATTCTGATCGGCCTAAATCTCGAGTTCACTCTGAGCATCTGCATTACTTTAGCCGCAGAGACAAGTCTGACACAACGCTCATGTGCAATCCACTGTTTCTCACTGAGCGCCTCCCCGCAGCTGGCCGGGCTCACAGGAGCATTCCCAGGGCCACTGGGCTGAACTACAGCAAATGGAAACAACTGGGACAATCAAAGGCCAACTGCAAGGACAAAGTCTGGAAGGGATGCTGTGTATTAATCAGGCATGGATACTGTGCACGACTGCCTCCAAGGTAGTAGTCAGGGCCTTCAAAGAAGGCTGCGAAAACCACTTTGACAAAACCACGTTGACGGGCCTTTGCAATTGGATACATAAAAGGCCTGTGGTTAGTTTTTGTGGCAAATTTCATGTTCTGTTCATTTACATACTGACAGCCAGGGACTCTATGGCTTTTTTAATCGCTTTCATGTTGCATTTATTCTAGTGGGTTAGTTCTGTGCTTTGCACCCTAGAGCAACTTCTGCAGGATGTGGGAGCTTATTTTTGTATTTAAATTAACATATAGTAAAATGGACTCTTTTTTTGGCATGCGAGTCTATGAGTGGGAACAGGCGTTTCGTGTGACTGCCGCCCCAAGATCTGGAACAGCCCCATTGCCCCAAAGCAGACCCTTGTGTTTCCCCTTTGTAGCCACACCCTCCTCTAGCCCTGTGCTGCGCCATTACATTGTCTTTTCAAGAAGGTCTTCAGTGCAATTAGGCAGTACTTGACTTTTTTTCTTTTTATCGTGATAGAACACATATAGCAAAATTCACGATCTTTGTTGTCTTTAAGTAAATAGTTCAGGGGTACTGACTATTCACTGCTGTGTAGCCAGCCCTGCCATCCATCCCCATGGCTCTTTCCATCTTGGAAAACTGACACTCTGTTCCCGTTGAACACTAATTCCCCTCCCGCTCCCCAGCCCCTGGCAAACCCACCACTCGCTCCAGGTCTCAAGGTGCACAACCGTTTGAGATGGGATCCTCTCACTCAGCACCATGCCTGAGACCTCCTCCCCCCACCCCCCACACACAAGATGCTGCAGGCAGCAAGTTTGTCCCGTCAATGGAGAATTTTCCACCAGTTGGATGGAAGCCCATCTGCTCATCCACTCAAGGGCCTCTGGGCTGCTCCCAGCTTGGGGCAGGGTGGGTATGGAGAGCCGGTATGAAGATCACAGGCAGGTTTCTGTGTGAATGTGACCTTTCCCATCTCTAGAGTAGGGATGAGACGGCGGTCTGTTTTTCTAAGAAATTGCCAACTGTTTCCCAAAGTGGTGTACCATTTGCGCTCCTGCCCATAAATGCACAAGGCCAGTTCCATGGGCTCTGCCTCCTCCTCACTGCAGGGTCCCCTTTGTTAAATGGAGACATTTGAGGAAGCATGTAGTGCTAGTTCATTGTGCTGTGATCTGCATTTCCCTGGTGACTAATAATGGTGTTAAGCATCTTTCCATGTGCTACACTGTCATCCCGCCATCTCTGGTGAAGTGTCTGTTTTAAATCTTATGCCCAGGGACGCCTGGGTGGCTCAGTTGGTTAAGCAGCTGCCTTCGGCTCAGGTCATGATCCCAGCGTCCTGGGATCGAGTCCTGCATCAGGCTCCTTGCTCTGCAGGGAGCCTGCTTCTCCCTCTGCCTCTGCCTGCCATTCTGTCTGCCTGTGCTCGCTCTCTCTCCCTCTCTCTCTGACAAATAAATAAAATCTTAAAAAAAAAAAATAAATAAATCTTATGCCCATTTTTTTTTTCTTCTGTTCATTTTTCAGCTGGGTTGTTTTCTCACCTGTTGAGATCTGAGAGTTCTTAATGTCTTTTGGATAAAGTCCTTTGTTGGACATGTGATTTGCAAATATTTTTTCCCAGTCTGTAGCTTGTTGTTTGTTCGTTTGTTTCTTTAAGATTTATTTACTTTGAGAGAGACAGAGAGAGGGAGAACGAGCAGAGGAGGGGCAGAGGGAGCGGGTCCTTCAACTCCCCGCTGAGTGGGGTTAGGGTTAGGGTTAGGGTTAGGGTTAGTAACTCCAGGCTGGATCCTATAGCCCTTGAGATCATGACCTGAGCTGAAACCAACAGTCAGAGGTTAACCGACTAAGCCACCTAGGCACCCCTGTAGCTTGCCATTTTATTTGCTTATTGGTATCTTTTGCAGGCCAAGAGTTTCTAGTTTTGATGAAACCCATTTTATCAGCTTTTTCTCTCACGGTGCATGCTTTCATGTTCTAATAACGGTCTGCCTGGCCCTGGCCACAGAGACCTAGGTTTTTCTTCTGATAGTTTCACAGTTTTACATTTAGACCTGTGATCCATTTGGGGTTAATCTCTAAGACAGGAAGTTTAGGTCTAAGTTTTTTTTGTTTCACATGTGGATAACCAACTGTTCCAACGCCATTTGTTGCAAAGACTGCCCTTTCTCCATTAAATTATCTCTGCGCCTCTTTCAAAAAAATTAACTGGCCGTCCTCGTGTGGGTCTGTCTCTGTTCTCCACTCTGTGCCATGGATCTATGTGTCCATCCCTCCACCGGTTACATGCTCTTGATTGCCATGGTTTTATAAACTTATATTCAAAATCTCTATTATCAAATCTGCATTTTACTTATAATTTATATTATACAATCGGGTAGTGGGTTGCCTCTAACTTCATTTGTTTTCAAAATGACTTCAGTGATCCTATTTCCTTTGCCTTCTCTATAAATTTTAAATGTCTGGGGCGCCTGGGTGGCTCAGTTGTTAAGCATCTGCCTTCAGCTCAGGTCATGATCCTGGGATCCCGGGATCGAGCCCCACAATGGGCTCCCTGCTTGGCGGGGAGCCTGCTTCTCCCTCTCCCATTGCTTGTGTTCCCTTTCTTGCTGTGTCTCTGTCAAATAAAATCTCAGTTTGTCTATATCTACAAGAAAATCTTGCTGGGATTTTGACTGGAACTGTTCACAGATCAGTTTGGGATCCGACATCTTCACTGTGCTGAATCTTTCAATTCATCAACGTGGTGTGTCTTTAATCTTATATCTTTACAGGACTTATTCACATGATATCACCACAAGGTCTGAAAAGCCACTAAGGTCTATTAGTAGTAGCCTGCGAAAACTGCAAATGTGACCGAAACCTAGCTGTGGAAAAGAAACAGCAACAAGAGCTGAAATTCTGCTCAGCCTCTGAGGACACCAGGCATGTAGGTCAAGACACATACGACGAAAGAAAAATTGCTTCACGGTGACCCAAATTGTCTAGCTGGAATCTTCACCTGTCTCATCTGAAAGCAATATAAATGTCTCTCTTAATAGAAATGACAACTTAATTAAGTCTTCGGAATCCACATATGACATTACGCGGGTAGAGTACGTTCCATTAATACAAACATATTCCATAAACATTTACTGGGCATTTACAGAAGGCTGGCGTTATTCTAGGTGCCGGAACCACAGTGTGGAAAATGACTAAGGGTCCTTGTCTGAAGCCTCCTTTCTAGCCAACGAGAAACTTTAAACATGTAATACAATAAATAAAGCTATTTGAGACAGGGATATGTGCCATGGAGAAAATAATTACAGTAAGGGGACAGAGAGATGGTGAGGGCTCTTTTAGAGGAAGTGGTCAGAGGAGGCAACCTCTGAGCCAGACCCAAATGATGACGGAGCAGTGACCATCTCAGAAAAGTGGGAAAGGAGCCTTCTGGGCAGAGGAAACAGCATGTGCAAAGACCCTGAGGTAGAAAAGTAAGTGTTTGACATTTACGGAAGTCCAAGAAGGCCAGTGTGGCCTCTGCAGTGACCAGAGGGGAAAGTGGCTTGCTACTGTGTTCATACACGTG